GAACAAGCCTTCAGTGCCTAAGCTCACAGAGAAGGACAAGGTCGATCGCGACACCCGGGTTCCGGAGAAGGAGTGGAAGAAGATCATGTCCTTCTCTTACACTGGTGCTCGCCGCTGCTCATGGTTCAACTGCTCGCTCGGCTGTCGGTTCGGTGATCAATGCAAGAACAAGCATATCTGCGTGCAGTGCCGGGGTGATCACCCCTACCATGGCAATCACTGAGCTCCTGCGCCACCGCCGGGGGAGTTTGGTCGTCTCCCTCCGGCACCGGTGCTCGACAGACCACCGGGGGATTTCTCTCCCCCCCCACTGCAGCAGCCGGCTGCTAATGAGGTTTCTTCTCAGAGACTGACAGCTGCCCCTGCAGGTCGGCCGCCGCCGTGGGATCTTTGGGCGGAGGTGCCCCGGGATCCCGACACAATTCGTGAGCTCGGTCCCTGGTGCCTCGAGATCTTTGCAGGGTCTGCTGGCCTCACCGCTGCCTGGAAACGTCACGGTCTTAAGACTTTGCCGCCGATCGACAAGTGCACCTCCGAGCTCCTTCTGGAGTCGATCGACTTGCTGGACGCACAGGTCTTTGATTGGCTGCTCTTGCTGTGCCGCATGGGGGCGATCGTCTTTCTGCACTTGGGCATTCCCTGCGCCACGTTCAGCGTGGCTGGGGATCGGCCTGGAGGACCTCCCCCCCTGCGATCGCAGGTGCTGCCCCTTGGCCTCTACGTTCTCAAGAAGCACCACCAGGCACAGCTCTTCGAGGCCAATGAGCTCTTGTTTCGATCTCTTCTTCTTTTCGACGCTGTGGTTCAAGCTGGTGGGGATGCCTCGATCGAGAACCCGAAGGACAGTCTGATCTGGCAAGTCCCTCAGGTTCAGCAGCTCAAAGTTCGTCTTCACTTCTACAACGTCGATCTTGATCAGTGCGAGTACGGATCACCTCACCGGAAGCCTACTCGGCTTCTAGTCAGTCACGCTGGACATGTTCATGAGCCTCTTCGTGGCGTGACAAGGTCGGAGACTGGCAAGAAGATCTTCAAGACTAAGGCGGCTCAGGTCTACCCCCCGGCGCTTTGCACCGCGTGGGCGATCGCCGTGGCCGCGATCGTGCAGAAGTCGGCCCAGCAGTTCGCCGCTTCCTTTGCTCTCACGGCTCCGTCGGCAGAACGCAAGCGATCTTTGGGATCCCAGATTGCTTGGAAAGGCCATCGCCAATCCGCTGCCGCTCGGCTGGCGGCGGCTAGCGGCTAGCGGCTATCAGCTCAAACGTGGTGCCGCCAAGCCGCTGCTCGACGTTGAGTGCGAGCCCGGTCAAGCAATCCAGTGGTCTCTTCAGGTTCGGCACCCATTCACCGTGCAGCCGGCGCTCCCCGACAAGATCGTCGACGACATCAAGTTCATTGTATCCTCCCCGCAGGCGCTCGTGGCTCGCCGTTCTGAGCGCCTTCAGTTCTGGCAGCAGCGTGCGCTCACGCTGCTTCCAGAGACCGATCGGATTTTGCGGTCGATCGCCGACGCTCCTCTTCGTCGGCTTCTTCGCGGTGCTCCGGATTATGCTGATCTGCAGCTGGGCTCTTGCACTCACGTGGCGCTCTACGACGAGCTCTTCGCGGCGATTGGCTGCACGGATCATCAAATTCTCCAAGGTATTCGCAGTGGCTTCCCGATCGTTGGCCAAATCCAGCGATCGGGGCACTGGCCGCCGTTCACAAAGCCACAGCGGTCAGTGCCTGTGCAGGAAGCTCTGGATCGGGCCTGGGAGTTGCGAGCCAAGGTCTTTTGCAGATGCAGGTCGGTTCCTGTTTCTGACAATCTAAGGTCTCTTTGGAATGCCACGCTCGAGGACGTCAAGGAAGGCTCCACGCTGGGTCCGTTCGGATCCGAAGAGGAAGTCTCCAAGTTCTTGGAGTGTTCCGACTGGATCCCGACACAACGCTTCGAAGTGGTTCAGAAAAACAAGGTCAGAGGCTGCGACAGTGCGACCTCCAACTTGATCAACCAGACCGCGGTGATCACCGAGAAGTTGGAGCTCACCTCTACGGACTTGAATGTGGCAGTTCTGCGCGAGCTCCGCACCAGAGGAGGCGATCGCCCGCTAAGAGGATGGGTCCTCGACGAGCGGAAGGCCTATCGGCAGCTTCCGATCTTGCCGGAGCACAGGAAGTTCAGTGTGATCTGCCTGAAGGATCCGGGTGACGGCATTCCCAAGTTCTTTGTGATGATCGGACACTCCTTCGGGCTCGTGGCGGCGTATACAATTATAATCGCCGCTCGGCTCTGATCAATGATATCCTCGTCCAGCTGTTCAGCATGGTCGCCTTCAACTTTTACGACGACAAGTACGGGTTCGAGACCGATCTCACAGCGCCATCGGCTAAGGTCGTGGCCGAGTGCATCCACTTCTGGCTCGGCGCTCTCTTTGACGAGAAGAAGCTCCAGCTCTCGGCGGCGCCCGTGATCTTGGGCGTGACTTTTAACCTTGAGCTCCTTGTTCTTGAGATCAAGGAGCAGAGGAAGCAGGAGCTCCTGGACTCGATCGACGCGATCTTGGAGGCGGGCACCTTGGATCCTGGGACCGCAGGGAAGCTCAAGGGCAAGCTCATGTTCGGAGCGAGCCAGCTCTGGGGGAAGGTTGGACGTGCGTTCTTCCGGCCCCTCTCGGAGCGCCAGTACTCGAAGGACCGGTCTAGCGATCGTATGGAGCTCAACCTGGCTCTGGAGCGATCGCTTCGTTACTGGCGGAACCTCATTGTTCATGGCCCTCCGCGTGAGATATCACTCCGCTCGGAGAAGAACGCCGACGTTGTGATCTTCACAGACGGCTTCACTCCAGACTTTCGTAAGTCGGAAGAAGGAGCCGATCGGATCGGAGCCGTGATGTTCGATCGGAGGGCCGATGCTCCCAAGCAGTTCACTGAGGTGATCCCACTCGAAGTATCTGACCGATGGCTCGCGAGGAAGACCCAGATCGTCCCGATCGAGATGATCGCGCCGATTCTGGCGCTCGAGACTTTCCGGGATCACGTGAAGAATAAGGACGTTCTCCTTCTGATCGACTCTGAGGCGGTCGAGGCTGCTCTAGTGAAAGGATACTCTTCAAAGGAAGATCTCTGTGAGCTCGTTGAAGTTTTCTGGGAATTGGCTCTTGAATATAGGGTCAATTTCTTTATCGATCGAGTTTCCACAGATGCCAACCCCGCAGACTGGCCATCGAGGGATCGCCTCGAGATTGGCCAAGCTGCTGGGTGGTCGACTGTTTTGTGCTCATGGCCAGCGAAGCTCCGCTAAAGGATCGATGCAGGGCCTGGGAGGTTGCTCGTATTTCGAACGAAGGGAATTTGTTCGAGATGCTCTCGCGTCTGGTGTCCCGGGAAGGGCTCGCCGGTTGCGGGTTCGAGCGACTGCGACGACGACGACTCCGTTCGTGGGTTGTCGTTGTCCTGGGGTGGGGGCCGGTCGTTTCTGATGCTCTTCGGTAGTTCTTCTGGAGACCGCTCAACCCCATGCTAGAGCGGATTAAACATTGCTCGTCCGCTCGGTGTGTGGCATGCTGTTCAGTGAGCTTGCGAGCGTTCGTGCGTGTAGTGTGGTTCTCCTATTATCGGCTAGGTAGGTCTGGAATAGGAGGGTCACACTACGGCATGAGATCAGCATGCTCTTTTGACTTTTGATCACCACGTTGATCCGTGGCCATTTTGGGTCGAGACGATCGTCTCGATCCGCGAAGGATCTTTTTGTCCCACCCAACCCGCCCTATTTTTATGAGGTGGGAGGTTGCTCGTATTTCGAACGAAGGGAATTTGTTCGAGATGCTCTCGCGTCTGGTGTCCCGGGAAGGGTTCGCCGGTTGCGGGTTCGAGCGACTGCGACGACGACGACTCCGTTCGTGGGTTGTCGTTGTCCTGCATGGGGTGGGGGCCGGTCGTTTCTGATGCTCTTCGGTAGTTCTTTTGGAGACCGCTCAACCCCATGCTAGAGCGGATTAAACATTGCTCGTCCGCTCGGTGTGTGGCATGCTGTTCAGTGAGCTTGCGAGCGTTCGTGCGTGTAGTGTGTTTCACTGACATGTGTAAAACACATGGCTCACAGCAGCCGGGGTGGCCCCCTGTCATAACACTCGCCAAGCGGATTCCTCTGCAGCGTCTGAAAGAAAGATGTATGTATGTATGTATGTATGTATGTGTATATGTATGTATGTATGTATGTATGTATGTTTGCGTCTGTGTATGTGCATGTGCACGTGTACTTGTATGTCTACTAGGTATGTCTCTGTATGTGTGTGGGTACGTATGTAGGTATACGTATTTATGGATGGATGGATGGATGGATGGATAGATGAATGGATCGACAGATGTATGCTGTGTTTTCCATCAACTAAGATTCAGCAGAATAGTCCAAACGCTGGCGCTTCGGGATTAGCAATTCGATTCTGAGGCCTGCACAGACCAACAAGGTTTGTCATGAATCGACGTGCAAATAAATTCCGGCTTTGGTTTGGGAGGTTTTGGGACGATACTCAAATGGAGTGAATGCATCGTGCGAGGTTGCAGTGCATTGTTCAACTCCTACCGAGCAAAAGGCTTGGATGTTAAGCCACGTCATTGGAGTGGAGGACTGGAAAGCTCTGCAAAGCTTGACATCATCTGGTGTGTTCAACAGATTCTAGACTTCAGTTCGCAAGCTGAAATCGTGCAACGACAGTGTCACGAGAGTCTTCGAGAGTATGGGCATCGAGCGAAGCCTTCGGGGCTTCAAGAAGAGGATAGGATGGATATGACGCATGCTCTGCGGGCATGGTTGTTTCTAGTTTCCCCTTGTACTGCCAGATTGCCCAACCAGGAAACAGCGTATGATAGTCTCTATGATCTGGTAGACTTAGAGTTTATCTGCATGCCTGTGTGTGACGGGGGTTACTGTCTGAGCATGCGCGGGCGCGCTTGAGCACGCAGAGGACGATAGTCGGGTTAAAGGCACAGCTGTGCAGCCAGTTTGCCCTGCACTTCAGGTCCCCGGCTCCCTCTACGGTTGATATGCGGGGCTCTTTGGAGTCGGAGGCTCAGGCGGTGAGGGGCAAAGCCACGAAGGAGAGGAGCGAGACTTCATCGGCTCAACACAGGAACCCTTCGTCTGCACCATCACCTCTGAGCGGTGAATCACTTGGTCTTGGCAGATTTGTATACGGTGCTTGTTACCGCTAGCAAGCTCACGCGCTAGAGGTGGTGCAGCATGGGAGCTTTCTGATTCGTGACTGCCTTAAATCGGCGTGGACATTCAGATTTGTCCAAACGCAGGCTGTTCGGCACAGCCGCCATTCGTGAGGTCACACCAATCCTTGAACCTTTCGACAAATTCGTCCTCCCAGCAGGACGTCGTCTGCGTCGATGCACTGCCGGAGCTTTTTCAGTGACGTTGCGCATGTTGCGGTATCCCTATGGTTTCTGTCTGGCCCTTCCGTGGCTTGAACCCAAACGAAGAAACTCAAGGCATTTTCATGCCCTTATTCCAAAGGCGGGTCGCAGCGGACACAACGTCGTCGTTCTTCATGAAACGCAGAACTCAGTGGTTAAGAAGGGCCCAGAACTCTCAGCTTCTCACAGCCTGATTACCCTAGCCACATGCGGTATTGCAGATCCATGCTTCCAAGTGCCATGCTCGCTTCTCGGATGCTGCTCCAATTCTTGGAACGGGCTTCGCTGTAGAGGCCTGGCCATGCACGCCGTGGGGGTGTTGTTTCAGAGGGTTTGTGAGTGCGGCTTTTCAGGAAGCGCGAGAGGATTTGCATTCCCTGACCAGGCACTGGCCTTGACCGACAATGGAGCGGCGGTTTGTCTGGAGATGGAAGGTGCAAACATGTGCAAACCATGCAGTTTGAGCGCATCATGAGGTTCAAATGTAGTAAATGAGCCAAAATCCTTCTCCACGGACCATGAGCAAGTCACTGAGTCACTGCCGAATCGCACGTGCTCGGCTGGTGGCCATCGGCTCGCAGGCTGCTTGAGATGCCTTGAGCCAATCAGGAGTTCTAAAAACGATTCCATGCCGATATCGGAAGATGCAAGTCCTTTCAACAGAGCCGCGGTTTATGCAACCTGTCATATCTCACGACTGCGAGTCCGTGCTAGTGCGCCAGTGGCTCACATTGTGAAAGACAACAGCTCTTAAAGCGACAGCACTTCATGACAAGCCTTCTCAGCGCCATGACTGGCTCTGCTTCTCAATTGGACGTGAATGAGGGTGGAGACACAGAGCCATTTGCACCCGGTGCTTCTTGCATCGCTTGCAACGGCGTCAGCATCGTTTGCAGGTTGCCCTCAAAGCTTTGTCATCTTATGTGCTCAATCAATCTTGCGGACTTTCGTGGCATGTTGTCGACCCGAGTGGAGGCAGCTCGTGGGCAGACCAGAGTGCACGCTGTGCCTCCGGCAGTGCTGGTCGCTGCGCCAATCGCTCACCACCCTTTGCAGAGGCTGCGTTGTGGGCAGCTGGCCAGGTGCCTGAAGCTTGTGTCCAGTCCTGAGTTGTTGAGTGGTGATACTAATTTGCCGGAACTGCGTTTGTATTGCTTGTGCTTTGCAGCAGAAGTCCCGAAAGCTTGCGAGTGATAATAGCCGCTTCGGGACTTCCGGTCCCGACTGCACAAACAGATACCAGCAGAAGAACCTGAACCTTCTCGCCCCAACCAGAGAAAGCGAACCCCCTGCCCCGATAGCAAAACAACACCCTTAGGCGCAACATCTAAAAACAGTACTTGCCCCCCTCCACCCCCAACAGCAAAACCGCAACTCTTACCGAGATCGCCTCGGTTGCACCGCAGTGAGCTTCAGATGCCGAGGACAAATCCGACGACTCGGAATGCCCCTTTTCCGTTGACTTGTGGCATGGTGTGGCCTCGGCGTGGCGGTATGCCTGGAACAACCTTCGCTACTCGGTTGCTCAGGAGACTGGTGCAATCTGGTGCAGTCCTTGTCTTCGGTTGCTCAGGTTTAGCGATTCAGCACGCAAGCCCGGCCCACCGGCTGCGGCTCACACCCCGCGAGGCTCAAACCACAGAGATTTTTTGTGAACCGGAACAGGTTGTGGCCAAGTCGATGCATCTGGAGGTACAGCAGGTTGTGGCCGTGCACGAGTTCATGTATTGGCTTGGTTCCTCGGTGGCAGAATGGAGTCAGCGTGTCGGACTGTGCGCACCTGCTCCGAACTCCTTTGCAATCTCAGGACATGATGCCAAGAAGTGGCATGTAGGTTGGCAGGAGATGAGCGGAACTGCGCGTGCCCTGTTGCGGTCGCTACAGCTTTGGCTCGTTGCTGGCGAGTACCAGACTCTTGATGAAAACATCTGGGTACCTGCCGTCATCGGAGGAACTTAATCATGTACAGACTGAAACAGCTTGTAAGGCCAATTCTCCCCCGTTTCGCCATGGCGTTTGAAACTTATGGCATAAGCCACTGCACTTTCAAGAGAACTCCAACACCCTTTGCCAGATTCTGGTATTTTTCTCACATGCCGTTTTTGAACTCATACCTGCATTGCCGATGTTTTCTTATTCGCTTCTGTGGCGGCAGATTCTGCAAAGGCTGGGCAGCCAACTTCAGCTTGCTTTGACAAACCACGGACTTCATGTTCCTTTCGCAGGCAGGTTGGACGAAACGTCGCAAGTTGTGATCGCAACACAACCTAATGTGCACCCTCGAAGCAAGTTCAATGTCTGCAGGGAGATCCTTTCAGCTTCCTCCTGGCGACGTCGGCGCTCGTATCTCCCTGGCAAACGGTTCGCCGATGCCCCTCGATGAGCAGTCAGGATGGGGGAAGCACCAGCACTTGCATCGGCCCGTCGATGGCATTACATTGCATGCATGTGCATGCCGCATCAGCATGTGCCGAGCATGTAAGCATGATGCTGCTGTGTGGTCAGAAGAAGCAGAAGCAGCCAGTTTCTCTTGCTTAGCGCAGCCGTCGGCAGTGCTGAGAAAAACATGCTCATGCAGTGCCGATGTCAAGATGTGCTGGGTGAAGCAAGCGCCGGTAATAGGTCGGAGCCGACCATCTTTCATAACATCTTGACTATCCTAATTCCAGATGTCTTTCGTGGAGTGTGGATGAGCATTAGATGATGGCTTGATCTGAGAGCATGCGAGGCCACTTCTGATATTCAGTGTGCTTCGACTGCATTATTGTGCACCTCCGCAGGAACGGTGCAGGTTCGACACTTGGTGACTGCAAGGTCTGGCAGGTGTGGCGGCTCCCTCTTAAACCGACGAACGATGTCTACAAGCAGGTGCTTAAAGCGATCAACATCGGGTACAGTCGGAACCTCAGCATTGGCCTTTGTTCAGAAGGGCTCGGATTCATGATGATTCGTGCAGCACAGCCTACACCCCCCCGTCAGGACACATCGACATTGCACCCTACCATGGCAGCGAAAAGGAAGTCAGCATGGCAATTCGGGATTCAGGCGCACCGCACGGCTGGTCACCTTCCTGTTTGTCCGCCGGGCGGATGGGGCGGATGGAGGTGTCCCGCGAGAGCAGATCTTCCTCGCCTGTCGCCTCAGCTGGAAGCCCGGTGGGCACGGTCCCGGTCGCGAAGCGCCAAGCATAGGCCGGTCATTGTGTTCCGAGGTCCGGCGGACAGCTACCCCTTGGGTGCTAAACGAGCAATCCAACAGCCACTGCACGGCATGTAGCCGCACAGTGGAGGCGCCTTTGTGCCTGGTAGGTGAGTTTGGTAAGCATGTCGAAGGCTGCTCAGACATTTTGGGTTGGACTACATTGACCTGTTCATGCTGAGCCGTTCCACCCGGTACTCTATGCTGTGCCCCAGCTGCACGTGGATGGAGTTGCCGCTTCTCGAGTGTGCCTGAAAGATGGTTCTGCGCACGCCTTTGCTTGTCTTTCCGCGTCGTTCTTGGTCCCTTGGCTGATTGCACAAGCTGCTGCAGCTGATCTCCTCGAACAACTTTCGCAAGTCCCAGGGCAGTAGCTATAGCAGTTTGAAGCCAACATCGCAAGAGCTCATAGCAACCAGGAGTAAGCAGAACATAGTTAGTTACCAGTCTGGGAAAGATGGCGCTGGTGCAACCACTGCCGAGCATCTGGAGTCAGTCTGGGCTGGGCGAGTCACTGGCACGGCCACGTCCGCCGCTTCCCCCGTTCCCTGCGTTGCCTGTGACCGGTCGGGGGCAAGCAATTGCAGCAAGGCATGTTCTCGGCAGGCCCAAATGGTTGACGGGGCCAAGCGGATTGCATCTGCGGCGTCGGGCGGCAAAAGAGCCAACTGCCACAAACACAAAGCTTGTTTGGGCCAAGTGGTTCACTTTTTGGGCTTGCTTCTTCGGCTACTCCGTCTGCTATTTCACGAGGCAAAGCTTGAGCTACACAGCCCCTGTCTTGCGACAGGCCATGGGTTGGAAGGGCTTGGCGGAAATCGGAAAGCTCCAGTCACTCTTTCCCTTGGCATACGGTTCCTCACGATTCCTGGGTGGCCTACTTGGTGACTTGATGAGCCCCAAGCGTGTCTTCGCCCTGGGACTCTTCATCTGTAGTTTGCTGAACATCGCCTTCGGCTTGAGCTCCACGCTGCCGCAATTTGCCTTTTTCTGGTTGTTGAACGGCTGCTTCCAGGGACTCGCTGCCCCGCCCTGTGTGAAGATGATAACAAACTGGTTCGACCCGAAAGAACGCGGATTTTGGTGGTCAGTCTGGCATGCCTCCATCAATTTGGGCGGCTTTCTGTGTCCATTTTTTGCGGGCACATTGGCGGGCACCTTTGGCTGGCGCTATGGCATGCTGGGGCCTGGTTTTCTTGGGCTTCTCACCGTCTTCCTTTGCCTCCTGGCCATGCGCGATGGCCCGATCGACTCTAAGCAAGGGGGAGATGATGCAAAGGCGGTGAAGGCGAAGGTCAAGCCAGAACCAGAGGTGAGCCTCATGGAAGGCATTGTCTTAAACCCTGTGCAATGGGCACTTGGGTTCGCCTACATGCTGGTTTACGTGTGCGAGGCTCAGTACAGCATTGCTCGTGCCAGCCCTCCTAGTAAGTCCTAGTGCGCAGAATCCTTCTTACTTGCCTTGGCTCGCGCTTCGAGCTGAGGTGCAGACAGGGACTGAGCGTCTGGGGCATTTTCTACCTCATGCAGACAGGCAAAATCAGTCCGGCCGCCGCCGCGGCTTTGTTTTCGGGCTTCGAGCTTGGCGGCTTCTTGGGAAACCTTACTGCCGGCAGCTTCTCAGACTTCCTTCTGCGCCGAGCTCGCCCCGGGGACGGAGAGGTCGGGCAACGTGCAAAGGTTGTTTGCGTGTACTTCCTGGCGACACTCTTCTTGCTTCCAGCCCTGAGCCGAGTTCCATCGAGCCACCCCTGGCTGC